TTTCCCGCCTTCCCTGCTTTCAACAAGTAAACTCCTTTGAGGGCGGGGGTTAACTCATCACTTGTGGCAAGTTTAGCCCATGACTGCCCAACAGCTTCACACGCGCCAGCAACACAAATCCAACGAGTCACAGCTTTTGCTGTGTTGCCTGTACAGATTTGGGGAAACAATTATGCGTTTGCACAGTCACCGAGAAAGGAAGGACATTGACGACGAAGATGTTAGTGGATTGAAGTCATACCGTCCTCCACTGCATGAAATGATCGTCGTTGATCCCTTCTACTTTGACAACCGAGCACGTACGGTTTAAGGCCGGTGAACTCGGACCACCGCGTGCAATTTTTAACCATTCACCCAAATCAAACTCGTGCCCTGTGAATATGCTGTGACTAATCACGACGTGGAGCGTCTTCAAATCGCTGAATACACGGAATCCGACTTCGTCAGGAAGCAGTTTTCTGGCGTACAAATTTACTGATTTACTAAATCGATGGTTTTCCCCGGCGAGGAAGGGAAGGAGATACGAACCCTAATCCCCGTGCCGAAGACGGCCTGGCGCCTATAGGTGATCCCTCCAGGCCCCATGTACCGCCACCCGTTGCTCCTACCTGCCACAAAAGCGGCCTGGTCTACCTGCTCCACACAGCACCACCGGTAGCTGGTGGCATGTGGTGATGATACAGCTGCCGTGGTTGCCCGTGCCATTCTCTTTTTGAAATGAGCCAACATCATTTTTCTCTTTTTTTACACGAAGCGTCAACCACGGTGGTGGCACCGTTTACTGATGACAATAATATATCTGTCTCTCGATTACTCCGTGTGGTGAAGACGCGATTGTATCGTAGAAAATGTCTCTTCTCCTGTGAGCGAAGGATGTAGTTGTGAGCGTGTGGGTGTTTCCTGGAGACGATTGTTTCCCGTCAAGATTTGTCGCAGCTCTCTTTTTTTTTCAAAGACCGTCCGTCCGTCGTGTGGGTGCGGCAAAAAAAATCACAAGAAAAGGGGCGGGGATGGTGGGTTCAATACCACCCAGCCTAAGAGTGGCTCGGAGCAGCCGGTAGGAAATGCGTTCCTCCAGGACACAAGAAAGTGTGGTCGGCGATTTCCCGTGAAAATCTGGCGTCATCAAGTAATCATCAGTCAATCACGGGGAACTTGAATTTTTCGAGTTTCCCCGAAAAGGCGACCTCACAACCGTGGCTGACGTCATCGGTCGACCATGGAATTTTCGTCCACAGGAAATTTCCTTTCAAAAAAATTGACCAATCAGAAAACTGCGGGGACCTTGTCTCTCTCTGACGTCTTGTCAACGGTCAACCTGTGAGCGTGGTGGGTGCTATTGAAGAGAAGACACCACAACGGTACTAGCCGCGGCTGCAGCCTATTGAAGCCAATCGACCATCAGACTGCAGCCAATGGCAGGCAGTCTAATAGTTTGATTTGGCGCGGTTTCTCGGCAGCGGCATCCAGTGGCGGTTCGGGCTCGACGACGGCTTCCCAAACAGCTCTGCGAGGAGCCAACGTAGGGGCAGACTCGGGCGCGCCTATGTACAAACTCATTTGCGTGTGAGCGATGTAGAGCGTGACATCGTACGCACTGTGCACGTGCGCGCTTGGGTACGCCCGCCGGTGCATTCGCCTGAAATCGCCGCGCCCTGAGATCGCCGCGCATGCTAGCTGCAGTCGCGGAGCAAATTGGCGCACTGCCCAATACCAACGCCTGCACGAGCATTCCAGTTGCATGCACTACGAACGTTCAACACGGTGGCAACTCAAGCGCGACAAGGCAATTTTCTTGCTCGCAGTTTGAAATCCGTCCGTCATATTTCCGCAACACAAGTCGGGTAGGCACAGGACTTGCATTCCGCCTTCAATTCCTTCATTTCACAAAAAATGCGCTGCCACATATTCACGGAGAGTAGAGCCCGCGATGCCTACCTTTGAGGACTAGCAGCGCACCCCGCGAGCGCACGCACAGGTATCCACCAACGACTTACCACCAATCCCACCATGATATGGAGTAAATCGTGCTTGTACACACGTGTCATAGCTATTCATACCACGTATCCAAAGACCTGAGCAGCGGCGCTTAAAATGGAGAGCTCCGCGAGCACCAACAGAACAGACGTTATCCTTTGTAGGACTCTGGCAAAACTAGAGAGGCAAGATCCTCGCGGGCGAAGTCCTCCCGTTGTTGGAGCACGCTCACCACCTGGCGCACGCAGAGGGGAACCCGGTCGTGGGCAAAACAGCGGTGACTTCCCACGATTAACAGTCAAGGAAAACAGTCGGCTCACGGGCACGTGCTGTACACTACCGTGACGGCCATGGCGTGAGCTGAAGAACACGACATGCACGTGTATGGAAGTGGAATACATCGCTCGGGTTCGGTACGGCAGCCGCGTTGGGAGGAGACGGACACGATCAAGTGTAGACTGTGCCAACTCAACAAGTGTCCGATGACCAGAACACACGCCTTCGCCGTGACCCACCGTCCCATCACTGATGCCCAAGAACAATTAACTGCTCCTCATCGTCTTCCTTTGGCGCTGACAACCATTCCGAGCGTGCGGCCTTGCGAATGGAAACGAACATCAATCATTCTGAGCTTTCCCCAACTATGTCAGCCTTCAAATCATCCTTTCGAAACGTCGTCGCGTCACCCCTGTTGCCAGCAGAGCTACCAGAACCTTTCGGGCGCAGAAGCGGAGCAAAAATGGCAATATACCTTCTGTGGCCCGCTCCTGCTCAATATCAAGCAAAATGCAAAGGTAAGATTATCCTTCGTCCTCAACGCAAATATACAACGCACTAGGCTTGCCGAGTTGCGTTGTATCCCAGTTCTGCGTGTATTCTGTCCGAAGATAACTCTTCACCTCATTTGCCGTAAGCTGCGCCTGAAGCGGAGACCCCGGCTCCCAGTAGTCCATCGCGTCTTGAGGGCGCTCCAGGTTCAACAGCAATGACATCTGAGGTACCGTTGCGCAGGACAGGGAGAGAGGGATGGGCGTGCAAATACACACTGGTCGATTGCGCCATTGTGGTGTATGTGATTATCGACCGCGCATCTCGCTCCACACGTGATGAGACAGACGGGCGGGCTGGAGAGGCCTCCCTTGGGGCTGAGTGCATCGGCCAATCACCTAGCCTGCGACCAAGCCCTCTTGCTCGCACCGCCGACAGAGCCATTAACAAAAGCTCGAGTGCTCATTCACATAAATGACTTAACCTTCGCGCGCTATGTGGCTGCTTCCACAGAAGTGGTGGTGGTTGAGCATCATGAAGTGGGGGTCCCCGAAAAGGCGATGGTGGGACAGCTGAAAATGACCACCTCATGTGGAACAGCCGCCATATTCAAGGTGTACAACTTGATTTTTTGGTCTATCCCAGCCGATGCCATATGCCTCATATGGGGCGACCGCCTAGTATAGGGCGACCGCCATATTCGGGGACCCCTACTATATTTCCTATTGGCAGCCGCCACCTCGCTGCAGAGGGCAACCATGCGATACGTGTGTACTGGGTGGGGGAACCTGCGGCTGTGGATGGTTGGAACAGTGCCCGCGATAAAAAAAGCACGTGCGCGAACGGCACAGCACTTTGGCGGCCGTAACAAGCCAGACTCTTAGATCAGACCCCTTGACTCGCCTGAGCCAGTCTGGAGAACGGTTCTCGGGCCCCTCGCCCGGCCTGTTGGGTGAAGAAGCCCATCACGCATCGGAGGTCCTTGTCCAACTGAAGCGACAAAGGGCCGCAGAGAGGCAAACAAAATCGGCGCGGTAAAATCTAGTGGGAGGGGTCTTGGGTGATAGTGGTTCGGTTTCTCCTACCGGCGATGCCTCGCACGGGGCGGCGACAGCGGTCAGGGCGCTTGAGTAGCACAAGCAGAACACACCAAAGGGTATTCTCCCGGCCCCAAGAGCATCCTCACACTTGACAGACACTAAACGACCAACACCTTGTCGCAATCAAAGAAAGCCGATGCGGTCACCGTTTCGATGACCAAAGATCGGAAGGACAAGGATGAAGTGAACGAAAACGGCAAGTGCTTGGCACTGAAGCTGCAGTAGGCGGCAAGCCGTGTCAATACCAGAATCTTTCCTTGAGGCCACAACTCCTCGGCTCCTTAGTCTCAAGCGGCGAAAATTCGACTGCGGTGCTCACAGCCAACACCACCCCGCCAACCCCACTTGCTGTCGCACTCATTCCACTCAATCTGCGTAACACCCACCTGCAGTCCACCGAGCTGCGTGAATAGGCGCTTCTTGAGTGCGATCTCCATGCGCTTGGCGAGGTACCCGGCCACAAGGGTGAGGAGCTCGAGGAAGAGGGACTCCGACAGCCCGCCAGGCGGACGGTAAGGCTCCAGCAGAAGTCTTGACCGAGGAAGAAACAACAGAACAAGCGGTGCGCGACGGGTTCCGGTGAGTCGGTAGCGTGACGGATTTGGACGTGAAGCAACAGGGGGCAAACAACATCCCCCTCGACCAGGTGGCCAGCGCGCTTCTGACCCGCGTTCGTCACTGGCAGCGGAATAATAAGCAGCCGCAAGTCTGGTAAAGATGCCCGCGGAAAGATGACAACAAGGCCACTCTCCAACATTTCACCTCCCTCCTCCCCAATCTACCACCACCAACCCCCCTGCCCGGGGATACACAGTCCACCGGCCCCGCCACAGCAACGGCCACATCTGGCGGCGGACGCGGCGGCGGCGGCCTCACCGGAGGTACTCCACAAGGGCGTGCGCGTAGGGGTCCTCGGCCTCGTTGGCGGCGTACTGGTTCTCGCTCAGCTGGTAGGACACGGCCGACTTCTCTCCGAGGTGGGAGGAAACGACCGTTCGGAGAACCTGCCTCAGGCGATTCAGTACCTGGCGGGGGGGCAGGAACGGGTGGACGGAGGGGGGTGCAGTGAATGTTGTTTTCGGCTCGAAAATCAAAAACACAAATACAGAGAGAGAGGTGTGAGAGAGCGAGAAAGAAAGAGTACTGCTAGGAAGGCAATCAGCTCCCTCTCGGTAAGAAAACAGGCTCTGCCAGAAAGGAAAATTCCAAAAGTCACCGGAGAACTTCCTGCTAGAGGATCCACATATTTCTGGCCGACCTCACGAACGCCGTCACCACGTTGTGAAGCCTGTAAATTCTTGTCGGACAGCAACCACGCCGGCAAATCACAGTACTGTACATCACTGACGTACAACACAACCAGCTCCCCGCCACCAACACAGCAGACCAATTCATGCAGGCAGCTCCCACGACAACGCACCTCTTCCAGACAGTCGCTGGCGGCTCTCGTGAAGAGCGCCCTCGTTGACCCCAGCCCCTGCAGGCACGACATGACCCTCTCCGCGTCGTGGCCGGCGCCGCCGCCCCCGCCCCCGGCGCCCCCGCCGAACGCCGCGGATGCGTCCCGCTCCAGCATCTCCCTGAGCCGCACCGCGAAGGTCGAGCAGGCCTCCAGGGTGTTGACGTACACCAGGCACTCGTTGCTATTCATGTTTCCACCGATTCCCCCGCCGGCGCCGCCGGCACCGCCGCTCACCCCCCCGCCCATCATGGCGGACGATGCGTCGGGCCTCCCGCCCCCCCCACCGCTCTTACCCGCACCCCCGGGAGTGCTTCCGAGCCCCCCCCCGCCGGCGGAAATGCCTCCGGAAACGCCGGGGACGGCACCCGCGCCGGTTCTGTGATTGTATTGAGAGGGGATTGGTTCGGAAGGTGTGGTTGTTCATGTTGCCATGGCGGACAGTGTGTCCAGCGTTTAACGCGTTTCATATCGATAACTTGGCGGATAAGCGAAGTCAACAGAAAGAAGGGCTCCCCAGCGGACCTTCGAAATCATTCTGATAAAACAATCCTCATACACGAAGCGCTGCGCCTGGTCGACCACACAGAATTGACGTTTCATAACACGCCGTCTCGCAGACACAAGGGTACGCCTATCACACAAGAAGTTGGTGCTACCACTTGCTGTACACACGCGCACCTCCGGATGTTGCTGATTGCTGCCGTTGCGGACGAGGTGAGGTCGCTCGCAAGCCCCGCTCCCATGCCTTCCCAGTTGTCCATCTGCAGCTGGTCCTGCGCGTCGCCGTTGCGACAGGAAAAGGTTCAGTGGCAACGAAACTTACGGCAAAACGACGAGACCAAGATGACCAACCGGGGAAAGACTATGCTCGCCACCTTTGCCGGGTGTGCAATGGTGCGGCACAACTACAAGAAGTACATGCCAAGTTGAAGCCGCAACGAGAAAAAAATTAACGAGCGACGAACGAAGGCGGGTTGCCACCTTTTGCGGCAAGACTAAAAAACGAAAAGGATCACGACGCCAGAAAAATAAATCAGCCACCGCTGAAGTGTTGCCGAGAAAAGGAGATACAACAGTTCAAAGCCCAAGCGAGCGCTCAACAACATCGAGGGAGGGTTATCTCGCCTTAAGAGATGCCAGGTCTGTGAAGTCGATCTGCCCCAGCTGCTTGATCGTCAAGTCCAACGTGCCACCGCCGCCGGCGGGGAGGGTGGAGAGGGTCGACTTCACCTAGGAGACCACCACGGGAAACGATAAGCAAGGAGGTCACGGGGGCCGGGGAAGGGGCGGGAGATACTCACTCAGTGATTGCTGCAGGTAACACGTGACGCCTACACACACGGTCGTCATTCCTGAGCTGGTAAGCACCTCAGAGATAGTCACTGGAGTGGGGGGGCCTCGGCTGGCTTTGTTGTGGCGTGCAGCTTGGGCTCCTCGCATCCCGTCCGTGCGCAAACAGGTTGCCGTTTTCTGTAGTGATATGGAAACAATGCGTATTTCTCCAAGCAACGATTCCACGAACACAGCGAAGAGCGCTCCCTTTACGCCATCAAGTCATCGACACTAACGAAGGCAACCCACCCGACAACACTCACCTACCCACCTAAAAAAAACTCACCAACAAGAACCACCGCCACCATCGCACCATCGCCAACAACAACGCCTTCCCCAACCAAAACACCACCAACAACAATACCGCCGCGGTGCATCACCTTTCGGACGAGCGCCTCCAGCAGGTCGACGCCGAGCGTGTTTCCGACGTGGTTCACCACCGCCGAGGCAGCCCCGGCGTGCCCCGTCGCCAGGGCGCGCTTGGCGCAGCGCTGTGCCACGAAGAACGCGTCCTCGGCACAGGAGGAAGCCGCCGCGCCGGGGGCCACCTCGTCCACCGCGATCGCCTTCGACACCGATGCCTCCAAGAGCTGCATTTTTTTTTTATATATGCGGAGAGGGGCTATCGTCACATCTTCTACACCGCAAACGCCCGTCTACATGCATCAAATGCCTCGTCATATTTTTGTTTTCATTGTCACCCCCTAACGTCACATCGTCTCCACCCCAAACCCCTGTCCATATACATCATAAGTCTTTTTCCAACAACTTCAATGTGGGACCTCCATGAGTAGGCCGTGAGCGGAGAGGGTGAGAGCCGCAGATTCATCCACCCCAGTCGTTTTTTAAACTGGACCCCGAAACTAGCCGCCCGAGTCACCTCACCTGCCCCTCGATCTGTGAGTAGTACACCGCCACCTCCGCCCCCGCCTCCTGGAGCCGCGTCCTCGCTGGCATGACGGGCTCCAAGATGGGAGCCGGCAGGACCGATGGTCGTTCCGCCGCCGCCCCGCCGCCGCCACCTGTCTTGCTCTCGCCATCTTCCCCATTGGTCGGCGCTCTGGTGGCCTCGAATTCTTCCTGCGAAGGGTGGGCGCCTTCCACCTTTTCGAGGTTGTAGGACACGTAGGAATCGGGAGAAGAACACGCAGTTGCCGGTGGGCAGGTGGGGCGGGTTTTCCGGCGGTATGTGCTGTCAAGAGGCGCAATCGAACCGATCAGAGCACTGGATAAGGCTCCACCAGGGACACAGTGGGCGGCGGTTCTCCGCATCACGCGTGCATTCGACGACCATGACAAGCACCAACAGGAAGCGCCCTTGCTGCATCCTCGTTCTTCCCCCATCTCTATCCTCGTCTAACAACCTAAAACCCTGTCGGAATGATCCAACACAAAAATGGTGGCACCACCGTGCCACAGAACGTACCATCCATGTCACGCCACAACATACCTCCATCACTAAAAACTTGACAAAGCGGTCGTAACTCTCTGTGTGCTGGGTCAGCACCGCCAGCTCCTCCAGCAGAGCATCTGCCTTTCCCAGCACCTCCGCGGCGGCGGCGGCCGCAGCGCTGCCACCCCCCCCACCCCCCCCACCTTCCGTCC